CCTTGATGGCAATTTGCATCAGCCCTAGCTTGTCGGGGTGTCTCCTCCCATGACCAGAGAGGAGGATCTAATCTCTCTCTGTTGCTGTGGTAGATAAAGTCTTGGTGATGACAGCGAGTGAACAGGTGAGGTCACAGCCAATTGTCGCTAATAAACACAAGATCAGGCACAACACAGAGAGCTGCACAGAAGCTCTAACCTTATTATTTACAAAGCTACACCTCCAGCCCTATCAGCCTCAAATGCTGACGTCTATGCAGGGATTATCAAAAACGAAGACTATATACTGTAGCTGTCAGATATTCTGCATTTGCCTTTTATGAATTCTTGCCTATACACAAGCACAACTCCTACGCAAAGTTACACTTCGAGGCACAGATTCTCCAAAGCACATACGACTAGGGCACACAGATGGAAATTTTTAAGTAAGTAATGTCAGAAAAGCTGTCAGACACACAAAGAAATGCACATTTATTTATTTATTTGAGTTCTGAGTAATTACAGGTATTATAGCGATGCCTGCCTGACATTTCTTCAATTCAGATGTCAGAGTGCATCTAGTAACAGACAAGCTGGGAGTTATCTTGACTTTGTTTATCTCTTATCTCTAATCAAATTAAATAGGTTTTAAAGTGCTCTCTCTCCTGACAGGTGGGGGAGAAGGTTTCAATACAGCCATAACCGTGTGTGATTTGTGCTTTTTCAGAATGTGTGTAAATTAGGTTAGGACAACTCCAAAACAAGGAATGGAACATCATGCAAACTACGACCAAATCTATGATATTGAAAATACGTCACGATTTGTATCAAGAGGCCATGTATATTTTAGTGTGTTTTTGAGTTTATGAGTATTGTTAGCCAATAGCATACACATAATTAGCAGTTAGCTATAGCCTACAAGAGTAGGTAGTCAAATAATGTAGGTAATAAGTAGTCAGGAGTAAAAATAATTTAGGTCTACAACATGCATCCACGGAGTAAACATGGCGTTGTGACGTTATTACTACAACAGAGAGTGCAAACAGCATGTAAACCGCATGTATAAAAATAATAAATAAACAACTAAACTTAATTTCACAAAACATACATTGGGCCTGGTTTAAAGGGGCATTATCACGTTTTCCATAAGAATCATTTATCGTGCAATTTACATACCCCCGCGCACGTGGCTCCACTGGTGCGTCACACTGAAAACCAACCTCAAGACTAGTTCCTACCTGTTTGTATTAGGCCTACAACAATCAATGTTTATTATCATCTTCATAAACGTATGTAAGCGAGAACACTCGTCTTTGGCCAAATTAGTTAATTTGTCCAAAGAGCTCAAGTTAAAACTAAAACACATATTTGTGAATTTGTTTTTTTCTTCCTTGAGAAGTGACGTTATCATACCAAACTCTGAGTTTTATTCCACAGATAGTCCATTGTATTATTCAATTTGTGTCCATGTGTTTCTTAGTCTGATCCATAAATCATATTATTGTTGTGAGTTATTGATTATTATATCTAGCCAGGTCCGTCAGCAGATTTTTAGGGGGCCAAGGTACGCTCATAGGCAATACCTTTTTTCTGGTAATAAAAGGGATATACATTTCTTATGAATATACTTCAGAGCATTCAGTAATTTCAGAGCCCATATCCAATTGAAATGTTTGTTTCCATTTTCAACTATTTGGTGGAAGACGATATTATAAATATGTAATTAGTTTATATAACAGAGGCTTCATAGAAAAGTGTTTTATTCCCTTTCTCAACAGCTGTTCTTACTGTATCTTTATCCCGTATCTCTTACCTGCACAAATCAGATGACGGCGTCTGAAACTCCAATGCTTTGAGCTTTCGCAACAAAGAAGCCACATAAAGACACAGACACAGGTAGGATATGCGCCCAGGCTCCAGTGGATTTGTGCTTATACACTCTCTTCCTTCATTTGCCTTTTGGTTTCTCTGCTGCACCAACTATAGTCGCCCCAGGGCCCTGACAGAGAAGATATGACATATTAAAAAAATAGTGTGCGGAACGAAAACAACTTCCCCCCCATGAAGACAAAAACGGGTTGTGTTTTACATCTGCTTTTACATCGACAGCTTCAGGGACAGTTTATAGTGCGGCACATAGATACTTTGACACTGTCAGGCTCTGTCACTGAAGTTACCAATGGCGACGAGTATATAGCTCTGTTGATCTGCAAAACACTGCGTCGGCTGGCTCTTTTGTGCACGTGTCTAGAGGCCTTTATGATAATGAACACTGGGTCTCCCCCCTGCTAAAACATATCAATAAATAATACATTGGAACCACAGCCATTGTGGTGGGTTGGCATGGGCCGCTGCCACTAAGAGGAGCCTGCAAATATCATAAACACTTCAGAAGCACAATCCACCTGAGACCTAGGAAGCAGAGGAGAAGAAGGAGTATACATAATTAAGAAAAGGAAAGCATAAAGATGTAATTGCATTGTTGTTGATAATTCTGATCACCATTATTAAGTCGTTTTAAAGATACATGACTCTGAGCCATACTTAGAGGAGCTAACTTATTCATCAGGCAGATGTTTGCTGAAGCTCTACAGAGGAATGAGTACGAACAGAAGGTACACTGTTAACTCAGAGGGAATCTAACGTCAGGAACATGTATATTGAAAAAATGATTCACAAATACTACACCACAAAGCTGACAAGATACACAGTATATACTCGAAGAATAATAAATAAAAACAATAATAATAAAGATGATATGTTGTGTTTTTTGTCCTCATTTTTGTCCTCTGCAGACATACGATTAATATTTTGAATGCTTAATGTTTTTTCATCAAGTAACCCATACAGTCAGGGCGATATACTGTATTACTTTAAACATGAAAACTTTAAAAGGCCTAATTTGTTTAGTTTATACTATATCAATAAACAACATAATATTTGTTGCACAACTGGCCAATGTTTGTTTAAAAAATCCTGATCAAATGAAACAATTCGTATCATAATGGACTAATAATGATGATGAAAACACTTTGAGCAGCAAAACTCATTACTTCAGTTTAGGACCCACAGTGTCGCTATCACTGAAGCCTGTTATTATGAATCTACTGCCCCCTGTTGGTAGACGAGCACACTGCTTGGTGCTATGATACATTGGCCTTTTTTAGAAGTTGATGAATGCATTATATAGAGAGCAATTAAGAAAATGTACAATTTACTTTCTTAATTCATGCATGCTATTGCCAACTGCTAAAATAATATTTAATTAGCATGTGATTATAAACAAATAAGGCCACAAGGATTTATAGCGCGCTTAAATTCACTGGACTGATAGAGAAGAGTTAAAGTGATTAGTACAAAGTATCAAGTTATTATAAGTATAAAACATTTTGACCTGTATTTTGAAAGAAAGAATTAAGGAGAAATGACCTTGCACCAAACGTCATAATTAGTTATTTTTTTAATGTTTGCATCACAACAACTGAAAACCTGCCAATGATCCTTTTATGCATCTTTCATTATACTATTGCACAGAATTTAACAATTAGTTTCCATTCATTTATTTCTTGAATTTTTATTTAGATAAGACACCTGCAGTACATAACAAGTGACAGATTATAAAGACAGGGAACAAAAAGTTGAAGCATATATCTCTAGTTTAATATTTCATTGGTCAGCAACAAAAAAGCAAGAATAATGGTGACATTGATATATCTTTTTTAGAAGATTTTTTTTTCTTTTTTTTTTACAACTAACACAATGTTACTTTTAATTTTACTATGATGTGTAATGACAATACCATGGACAAGCAAAGCAGGTAATTGTTATCAGATATATATACACACTATAATTACCTCAAAGGAAATTCTATTGTCATAAAAACACATCCATAGTACATTTAGCAGTTCGCCAGCTGCACATATGAATGAATGACCCTTTAATAAACGTGTGTTAATAAGAGAGGCGGAGATGATTGAGCGGGTTGTTGGACATGTGCAGCTCTCCTGTCTAGTTTGGTTGCAGCTTTGTGAGATCTGAGTGGAATAATGAGTGGTCTGGGCTTGTGCATCTGGGAGGGGCCTACTCATGTTTGGGATATTACACTGATTGAGTCCAGATGCTCAATGGAAAATAAACACTTCATTTTTCATTTACAGCCTCATTTGGTTTCACTATTTTATATCCATTCTGGTCTTGTATGTAGAAACTGGCTTCATTGTGGTTCATTCATAATTTGGTTTGATTCCTACTTGATTCCAAAAAAAGAAAATGTTTATGACTGTTTAAAAAGTTTAATATCCCCTTTTTGGACATGTTTGCTTCTCTAATAATTTAGATTTTTTTTATTACTTATTTGCTGTGTATTTTTCCAAGTGAAGTTTGCCCAAGCCCAAGTTTAGTGGCTCTTTAGTCTATAATGTTGAACACAGTGAAGTAAACCAGCCGTAATTATATATAATAATAATGATGTCAAATTGAATACATTTTCTGAATAATTTTTTTTTTAAAACACAAGCAATATTATCACTGTATTTAAAAACAAATTAATCAAGACTAAACGTGTTTAGTCTTAGAAACTACAAAAAACTATATACTAATTTCCATGTAAGTAATTCTTTGCTCTCTAAATTGATCACTAGAAACAGCTTATATCCTAAATAAAAAAGGAAAAAGTTAAATATAGGAATTTGACACCAATTAAGAACTGGTTAAAGTCAGATATTCAAATCCAAAGATATTTTACCTAATCCCTGCTAACTTGTATTTGTTGTTTTATTTTTGCAGTGAATAAACCAAACGATAAAGCAGTCTAATTTGTATTTACCAAAGCCTTCCTTGGCTCTAGCCCCTGGAGGGAAACCATCTTACGTACCACAGTGAAGCAGCTCTTGTATGGACTCAACAGGCTGACCGTTCACAGAGCACGTCTATGGCCCAGACCTAAATTAAAAAGACCAAATACCCCTGGCCTGCTCCAGCCACAGCTCCCCAAGGGCAGACCGCTGCTTTGGCCTGGGTCATCAACCACAGCCTCTGTATATGCTTCGCTGTCTGCAGTTTTGAAAGCAGCGGAATTCCTCCTCCTCCTCCTCCATCTCCACAGCGGCTCCTTTGGGAGGCGTCAGGAGCCTGTGGAGAGAGCGAGGTAAGACGGGGCCTGTCAGGAACAAAGCACCAAATTCACATGATATGTTTAGCTAAAAGGGCGAAAGAGAAAATGAATCAAAGCTAGGCAGGGATCAAAGAAAGGCAACAGTAAAGTGAAGCTGGTTGCCATGGGACCAGCAGGAGATGCATATCATTTATAAGTTGTTGTGCAGCTTCTTGTCAGATGTGCATTGATTGGTATTGTTAGGTGGGATGAACTGGGTTGAGAGCAAGGGTCGTGGCGCACAGTAAGGAGAATATGTTTCTGGGTTTGTTTGTGTGACTGAATGTGTGATTTGTGTCGTAGGTCGGAGCCACGTGTGTGATAGAACAGACAGCGTGACAGATAGAGGCGACTTTGTCAACCCAGTAAATATCTCATCGGCACCAGACACCGATAGGCTAAACATTTGTTTTGAAATCTTACATTGTCAGAGGTGGTGATCTGTTTGAATGGGAAATCAAATAGACTTAAGCTGTGTGTCAAAGACTTTTTTTGTTTTGATTCATGTGGTGTAAAAGTAGCTGATGTTGAAGCAAGAAGGAAGAGCAGTGCTATCTGTTTGTAGACAGCTTATGGCTCTGATGAAGATGATGAAGTAGCTCTATAAACATGCTATACATTACTTCTACTACATAGCTCATAAGGCTTTTTATTAGCCCTGTCCATATAGTCCTACATCGAAATTCAATAACTGATGGATGGAACAATATATTTGGGGCCTCAATGTTTAACGGCTGTAAATTATCTGTGCAATAATGAAGAGTTTACGGTTTCAGGTTAAGTACAAGGGTAAACAAGACTTAACTCTGCTATTTTCTGAGCACATGCTTTTAATTAAAATGTACATATTGAAAATACATTCATTTGGATAAATTAGTTTCTAAATAATAATTGTGACGGGCCTATATGTTTCCATAATTATCCTGGAATATAAACAAAAACAATGAGTTCTGTTTTATTCTATGTTATAGCCCAATCCACATTAGTTTCCCCTTTATTAGCTTATATTATTTTTCTCAACCTCTAAAATGTAATCCTAACTAAATTGAAATCTCAACATCCCCACAAACCCAGTTACACTAAAATTATGCGGTTTAGAAATATTCAACAGCAACACATGTGTTTCCTCACTTCTGTATCACTCCTCTAATGGTCTCCAGACAGTTTGATTGACATGACAGCATCACAGCACAGTTATTATGATTTCCCGTTATATAAATGCGTTAGTATTAGGTGTGTGTTGGAGCCCAGATGAGCTCCCGTCTGTCTGCTGCTCTCTCAGACTGCTCCCAAGGGACGTCCCAAAATAACAACAAAGGCCCTGAGTGGGTCGGATGAAAGCCCTGTCATCAGCCATTTGAGCTCCATCTCCTCCTCTACTGTACTGTACATGTGTGAATGGCACTTCACACACCACACACCATGACAAACCGTGACAAACACAGCACCTTATAGAGCCAGGGCCCAGGGAGGGGACTCAGACCACCGGCTTTGAGCAGGTATAGAATCCCAAATGTAATATTTCTGGGTGAATTATAACATTATACAGTACAGTTCACAAGCACCTGCAGTAGTTGTGGTATATGCCCATGATGCTGGTGTAGTCCAAGCAATTAAGTTTAAACAATATATCTTTTAAAATAACATAATATAATTGTTGAACAAAAATAAATATTCATCAGACTTTTTAATCTGGGAGTGGGCGGTTAGAAATCTGGCAGCCAGATGGTCCACCCAAACACTAGGCCCTTCTGTATGGAGTTTGCGTAGGTTTCCTCCAGGTACTCCGGTTTCCATCACTAAAAATGTAGAGGACTATCCTGAAAAATATATTCTGAAATTTTAACGGTTTCTATCATGGTTAATCAAAGGTAAACATAAATAAATAAACAAATAAATACATAAATTGATATATTGTTTATTAGATTTTTAGGGACAGATATTGTAAATTAACCCTGGCTAACATGTTGCCTTGTTTAATATGCTCATTAAGCACAAGTGTCCATCCAATTATTTCAATAACTACGTGAATTACATAAAATAAAATATGTAAAAAGCAAAAGGAGGAAATTGAATACCCCACCTCACACTCGAATATTGTGCTAATTTCATTTAGCCTGAATTATCATTATAATGACAAACTATAACAAAGAACTTCAACTCAAAACGGGAAAGGCCTAAAACGTGGACAACCCATGGATCTATTATGGAACAACCTCACTTCAAATGAAATTGACGATCAATAAATGCGTCAGCTGTTTATGCTGAATAATTCAAACACACTCGATTAGAAAATTGTCCTGCAAACGTCACAAATGATTTAGCATATAAATATAACATAGTCTGGGAGCATGGATTTATGGGACTCACTTTGGGAAGCGGCCTCTGCGCGCGTGGCCTCTTCCTCCACTGACCTTGCAGTTGGTTGATATTACATCCCTTCCTCCACTGATGTCAAAACTAAAAAACTACAAAAAGCAGAAGGACTCCATTGTTATTTCTATCCAGTTGAAGCCCCGAGGTTATTTTTTTACTCTGCCTTGAAACAAATCAATGAAGCGCGCCTCACTTTGAACAATTGCGCATTTGCTGATATCAGATCCAGCCATCACTCTGTAATCTCTGTAGACAGAAGAGGACTTTGATAAACAGGCCAAAGCTTTGAAACAGGTGCGAGTTCACTTTGGACAACTATATACAACTGATAGAGAACAAAACACTGGCTGATTATGGGCTGTTAGTAATTCTGTCACGTGGAGACTCCCTATACCCTTCCCAAAGTCCTTCAATTTATTTTTATTTTAAAGCGGGAAAGAAATATTTTGACAATAGACGAGATTTCATGATTTTATTCCCAAGCCTGCATCGCCCTCGCCTGGTTGCTTTCAGTAATTACATTGGGGAAGACAGTAAAACTCTAAACAGTCACCATATCTTAAAAGCAGTTATAATATTTAGTTACAACTTATAATGTATTTGTTTTGCCAGTCTCAAGCCTAGGCAAATGTATTGAGAAGGCCATCTGGTGTAAACATAAATAAATAGCTCTATGCAAACCTCTACACATCAGGAAGCAGATGATTTGAGATAATTCATGTGTTGCATAAATCAAAACAAGAACTCCAAACAATGATTTATTTCCCAGACTTTTTTCCACGACAGTAAACACAACATATACTTATCCGGCTCCAATCAGCATCTGGAAGTATTTCTCAATCTCTACTAGCACCAAATGGTCTTAAATTAGTCATTGTAGTATCAAAGCACTTGACACTGGAACAATGATTATTTGCAGGTGCAGATCCGTGCGTCTTGTCAAGTCTGCATCTGACCAACATGACTGAGGCCTTATCCGACACGTACAGTGCGGCCAGTGTTCAATAGGCAAGATCGCATTACACCAGATTACTTTGAGTTTGAGCAATTTTACACAATTATGTTGGCCTTTGGTCTCTGTTAAACTTGATTGACTTGAATGGTTTTCATTAGAAAGATTGACCAGCCTTGAAGCCCGAACACAAGAGTTGGGGCATAATTCAGGATTTAAGGGTCAACGAGTGCAGATGGGAGAGGAGAAATGACTGGATATGCAAATGTGGTGGAATGATTGAAAATATGATTGTTTGTTGTCATTTAATCTGAGAAATATTCATTTTCAATTCAATGCATTTTTATTCTAACTTTTATAGACTTTATGGACTAGAATTACAGTGCTGCTACAGACTGATTGAGGCTGCAAATAATAGACATTCAGGAATTAAGTTTCTGTGTTATAAAGGTTGACAGGATTCATACTTTACATATTTTGTCACAGTAATTGCTTGAAGTAACAGGAGCGGTATTTGAGAGTTAATGTGAGAATTCAAGATAAATCAAATGTGACCTTTGTTGGATCTCATTTTACTTTCATTGGTCAAACTTCTGTGAGTAATGGATATCTATTATATCACCAAGAGATTGAACCTGGACTGACAAGAAAATAGTCATATATATATATATAACTCTGATGAGTCTTCAAGGGAAATACTGGGAGAGTGGTCCAAAACAAGGAGTAATCTAGATTCACTTTGAGCGTCACAGAGAATAAGATCTGTTTGTTCTGAAAGGAGACATTGCTACATTTAAGACAGATACTTGGCTGCTGAAACTGAGGCCCTATGAAATTCAAAACTGTATTTCGAAAGAAATTACATTCTTTAAAAAGCATTAGAGGTCAAGAATGTGTGAAAACAGCAATGTCTAATAAAACAGTTCTCCTTTATTTTCATATGGAATTGAAATTAGAGTAATTTACAAGTAAGTGATGCTAACTTTTAACAGCTAATAGAGCATCTAGGAAGTTCATGGTGTGAACCACTTGTGTGTGTCCAAATCCATGTTTGTTCAGGAGTTTTTTATACTGTCCCTGTGTCCTCTCTGTCCCCTCTGTCTGGACCAGCATGTTGAGAGACTGGAGTCTTGAATGAGGAGTCGGCCCATCCAACATGGTCTCTGCTATGAGCAGCCCGCACCCTACAAGCCAACACATTGTGGAAATACAATTACTCAAAGTCCAAAAAGGGAAATGTTGTTTGTCAGACTTTAAGGCAAAGCATGGCGTCCAGGAAGTTGTCTGTGTATTTCATGTCCTTTGTAGTAAAACCATGTTTTTCCAACAGAGCGCTGTATTCCTCAGCACTCCTCTGCCTCCCTGGACTCATGCTCAGGGCCTGGAGCAGCCCCCGACTCGGACCACTTCTGTCCTCATGCAAGAAGATCTCACTGAGCAGGACCCCACAGCCTGCCAGCACCATGAGGGAATTACTTCTTCTGAACGTATGGATTTAAATTCACGTTCTTATCCATTTCAGAGATACAAGAAACCTTGGAGGATCAAGTTTTAACAAATGTACAAAAGATTACCTGGTGAACACCTTTCTGAAATTCTCCTCAGCAATATATCCACTTTGTCATCAGACCAGTCATGAAGTATTCTGGTCAGCACAAACAAGTCTGCTTTTGGAATGTCATCTTTAAAAAAGTCCCCTGGACATACGTTTTAGAGAAGTATTAAACATCATGTATAAAATGTATGTATCTTTGATAGATGTCTAACCTGCCATGAAAGTCACCCTGTCGGCTGTGTCATTGTGCTGGACTTTAAATGATTCTCTCATTTCAATAACTGTAGGTAAGTCAAATACTATGACAGACATCTGGGGGTTTGCTTTTGATAATTCATGTGCAATGGCTCCAGTACAACCTGAAACACAGTAATACAAATATAATCTGGTCTTCAAAACGTTTTGCTTTCAGCGTTTCTCAGTATAGTTACCTCCAAGGTCACAGGCCGTTTTATATGTGGAGAGATCAAACGCTGTTGCTACAGCTCTCCCTGTAACTTTAGCAATGCTGTGCATGGCATTCATAAATCTCAGTTTTAATGCTTGGCTGTCGTAATATGTATCCTAAAGACATAGGAGAGAAACACAGTTAAAGTTTCCCACAAAATAACTGATTTTTATGACATCTAAAAACGAACACGGCCAAAATACAGACCTGAAACAGATCTTGTGCCTTCTTGCCAAATGCCTGTTCATGCTGATTTGTTCCCTCACGTACAGCATTTTCAAGATGAGAGAAAAGAGGCCACACCATACAATCTGTGTGCAGAATGTAGCTGTGCAGCGAGAAGGGAGACTCTGTGCCCAGAAACTGTGCTGCCAGAGGGCTGTTCTTGTACACTGGCATTTCTTTAGCTTAAAAAACAAATTCAATGTTATTGCTGTTGCGACCATTTATTTACAAATTTATAACAAACTAATCCTTCAGCAAACTGACCTTTCTCACTGCAGGTTAACAGCCCCAGAGATGCGCAGGCCTCCAACAGACTCTGTGTTCCTTTGACTGATGCTTTGATTTCAGCTGCCACCTGTGCAGACTTCATACCAGGACTTCTTTGCAGGAGGTCAAACACTCCCATCTTTGAAGCAGTAAATAACGCCTAAAATCATAGAATATTCGTTTTTAAAATGTTGCACATTTACAAACAACACAAATTAGTCAGATTTATAGTGATCAAAATACCTTTGAAGCCCTGAATCCATCCATTAGTGTAATTATCTTTTGCAAATCTCCATTCTTAGGCACAGTGTTTTCACCAACAGATACACTCCTCCCTCTGCTGGTGATGTTTTGTAATGACATGTGCTCTGACCCCTGGCAGTCGCCATGTTTGGACAGACTGTTGGTCAGTGGCTGGGAACTTTCACCCATCTCTAACAGAGTACCTTTTCTTTTCACCTAATGAGAAATGTTGGTTTATTTTCCCTTTCAATAATCTGTTTTTAAAGGAAATATTACCTTCTGAGCTGGGCTTGCTAAGGGACTAACAGATGGTTTGATAGATAAGTCTTGAGTTATTACTGTGCTGGGGTCTTGGTCGTTACAGTCTGGTTTTACAGAGGAACTCTTTTGGTCGGAGGAAGGAAGGCTGCTGTAAATTACGCTCAACTGTTTGCAAAAGTGGTTGAGAGGGAACCCCACAACATTGAGGAAGTCTCCATGGACGCACTCGACCAGCATCCCACCAAGAGCCTGGATACCATAGCCACCAGCCTTGTCCCTGGCACACAACAGGTTAAACATTTTGATATTATTGACAGGAAAAGTAGAATATGAATATATAGCATTGAATATAAAGCCAAAGTCCAAAAGAGCAAGTTCACCATTAACCAAATGACCTAAAAACCTAAAATACACAGCCATGACTACACCAGCAAAAACCAATAGATATTACATCAGTTACTCTCAAAGGTCATACTCACATGGGTTCACCACTGTTAATGTACTCCCAGAGCAAATCTTCTGACAGATCAGCAAATTTAACCTTTGTTTCTTCATAGAAGTCAATTAACTGGTAGTGCACCTCATCATCTGGTAAAAGAACAAGTGTTTCATGTTAGTACATCTATAAAAAATTACGATCACATCAGTTTAAGTTTAAAGTGATCTTGTGTGACATGCCTTTTTCATGGCAAAGAATAATGGCGACCCCAGTAAAAACACTGTGTTCTTTACCACTTAGACTGCAATAAAAGACCACAAACACAAGATGGTTAAACCGGAGCTATAAAGATCAACTATAATGCATCAGCCTCACCGTGACAGCATTCTGTAAGCATCGTCCTTGTCTGCTGGCTTTTCAAGTATCAGGCCATCAACTGTCTATGAAGAGAAATAAATGCACAATTACAAACAGAATTATAGCTGGATATGATTTGATGACATACAACTTTATCTTACCACGATTGTATCGGCCCCAATCACGATGTCTGGAGTTTTTAGGTGTTTCTTTTGAAGAGAAAATAGTGATGATTACAACAGGCCTATTTGTTTAACAACAGTGCAACCTGCTTACAGAAGGCATCCTCCTGGCCACCTCCAACGCCTTCTGCTTTGCCGTCTCAACTGCATACTCATGTGGTGCCTTAAAGAGCGACTTGTCAAGAGTTTCTTTGAACCAGGATGGGACCACCTCAAATCTCAAGCCCTGGAAAATGAAGTTTAGGGACAATAAGCTATTCACTTGATTATTGCCACACAAATGGAGTTAAGCCTACGTCACAGTGAGCTCTTCTTCTCGAAGTGAAATTAACACTGATTCTTCCCAAAGAGATCTCAAAAATACCCTAATATTTAGAGTTTGAATGAGACAAACCAGAAATGATGTAACTAATGGTAACAGTTTTAAACATACAATTAGGGAAAGTTGTAGTTCAAAATGAACACCAGAAATAGATTGTGTCATCTTATGTAATTTTTCACAAGAAACCTACATAGTAAGATTTCAAACGTTTGGAGATCACGTCACTTGCATGATCGTGAGGTGAGCTTTATAGTTAATAGCGCTAAACTCTAATCAATAGGACTTGCAATAACAATGCAAGAACTACATGCATTTACTAAATAAAACGTACTGCGTTTCGAAGAATGTCTTGTCTTCTGGGAGAAGCACTGGCCAGAACAATCAATTTCCCCACGAGCTTTGAAAGGACAGGGTTCAACATCATGGTGCTGTGTTTCACTGCGCCTGCAGAATAGACACAAGAGGTCAGACCAGCTGGGCTCAGGTCATTCACAAACTTAATACATTCACATACAACATTTAAATGCCAGGACACAACTTTAATAATGCACTCATTAATACAAATCAGATTGTCACAACCAATGCAACTTCAGCCATTCAATGTATCCCAGAATACATTTCTGTGTGGAGTTTGCGACAGCTCAAATGATGTAATGATAATACATTATTAAATATAGCAAAGTCAGAGCTTGAATTTATAACGCAACATAATAATCTTACCTTACACAAACTCGCACATGAAACAGTTCAGGCTACTACCGGCCTCATGACGCATGCGTGAATACGTCATTTGGCTCCGCCTTCAGAGAGAGAGAGAGAGAGAGAGAGAGAGAGAGAGAGAGAGAGAGAGAGAGAGAGATCCATATCCATAAATAATAGATCTAGAATAGATTTTCATATTTGTTTTACTTTATATACATGAATGTATTGTAGAAAAGGCACGAGATAACAAATTAAGTATTTATTTACAACAATATTTAGACACAGATATAAAAAATAACAACATATTGTACAACTCTGAGAAATTCAATCCAGTAGTTATTCGATGACCCTGTTTTAACACTCATTGCCTCAGGTACAGCTGTTTCTTACAGTCTTACTGCATTGAATACGTTATCTCCCTATGCTCATGCTTTGACTCGGTGCTGCTGAGACTGGGCCATTTCATTATCTGCCTCAGTTTTTGCCTGAAATCCTTGCAGGCAAAGTAATAAATAAATGGGTCCAGGCAGCTATTGAGACAGCTGAAACATAGAGTCAGTTTGTAGGCCATGTAGAGGGATCTATTGAAAAACAGCCTCATAACAGTGTGGGCCAACAAGAGGATGTTGTTTGGGGCAAAGCATAAGATGAAGACCATCAAAACTATGAATGCCAAACGTATGGCTCTGTCTTTTTGAACTGTCTTTGAGTCTCTGCCCAGTTGCTGGATCACTCTGATGTAGCAAAATGTTGTAACACAAAAAGGGAAGAAAAAGAGCACAAAAAACATGCAGAACAGGAAGGCAGTCCAGGCACCTCGAGAGGGAAGCATACTTTTCTTCAGTACATCGAAACATGTGGTTATCCCGAGTTCTGGGATATGAAAGGTTAAGTCTGTGGTCATGAAGGGGTACAGGACACTCAGCACTACACCCCACATCAAGAGGCAACTGACGACAGCCATAGACTTCCTCTGCCTGGTCTCTCTGAAGAAAAGAGGCCTCACAATGCCCAGGTAGCGGTCAATACTAATGGCCATCATTGTGAGGATGGAGCAGTACATGTTGGTGAAGAACATCATTGTCAGGAATCTGCGGAGAGAGGAACGGCAATATTAGAATTCAACAAACTTGAGAAAAAACAAAAAATTCTGTGATATTCTTCTGAGAGATTGTGGCTGTTGACAAATGCTGCACCATTATGAAAAAGTAGATAGTTGATTGCAGCTAACTTCAATGTCACATCATGTTGGACATCATCAGTCACATTTGCAAGTCAGTTATTTTGTAGTAAAAATATATACATTTTCTATCATTGTAAAAAGTAATATACAGTATATTACAACTTTATAGTTACCGACACTGGACACCAACGGCTCTGAGCCTCATCCTCTTTGGGTAATCTCTCAATATTTAGGTAGAAGAGCAAATCATAAAACTAGTATCTGCAGCACTGAGCCATTTACTGTGGAAGCTGAAGGAGAGGCCAGGGGGCGGAGGGGGATATTTCAGGATATTTCCTTTTAGATAGATTGTCACAGTGTCATTTCTTAGGATGTGTGCAGAATTATGGTCCTCATCCTTTGTTCTATTCTACTTTTTATTTCTAATCAACACAGAGGAGTTTGGAATAGCAATAGCTCACAGACTCAGAAAGTCAATTCAACCCCTCAAATATCCCTCTCGTTATAGTTAGACACTTTACTTTCACTTTACTGTCCATCATACGTCACTTTACCTCACGGTATTGCTGTCACCTTACACTGTGTGCACCATGTGCACTGTATATTGTATATAGTAACTGTATCTCTATTTTAATTTTAATTTTAAATGTATTCCTTAGAAGTGTTTTTTATTCTTTATTTTTTATTCTCTCTCTCTGACTGTTGCACTGAGCCAAAGCAATTTCCAAGTCTGTGACCTCCTGTTACTTACGTAGCAATAAAAATGATTCTGATTCTGATTCTGACATATTCACCCTTTTGAAAACTAGTACCTGCACATGTTGGGCCCCAGGTTCCAGTCATACCCCTGCAGCTGGTAGGCGACCTGAAAGGGAAGAGCTGCACCCAAAGCCAGGTCTGTGAGGGTCAGGTTGATCATGAAGATTATAGAAGGGGTTTTGGGAAATGTCCGGAAGACCAGGAGCCACACGGACAAGCCATTTCCAAACAGGTTGACCACAGTGACCACCATGTAGATGGCCGAGATGGCAATGCTGGTGTTGACATTCTTGAAGAGGGACAAAGTAGCGTTGTCTAACTTGATGCTGCTGCTGCTCAAATTCATGACTCTAAAATAAATACACGTGTATTTCAATCATAAGCATCACTTTAAGAACATTTTGCACATATAGCACATTATTATGGCAAAGACTCATCATCAAACCAGACATAACAATGACTTAGTGAATATTTGGCTTCCCATTAGAATGAGAAGGTTCTATCTGCATTCTGTGTGGTACAAAGGCACAACATTTTTAAGGCAGGATTAAATGAAAGGAAAAATATTTTTAAAATCCTACAACATAATGATAAAGTCCATAGAAGGTTTTGACAACTAAAAATATACAATAACTAAATTCAACCAAAGCATCAAATATAACCTAAATGTCAGAAATGTGTGATTCTGAAATGAAAATAACGCGTATAGATGCGTCCTATATTAGAAAAAACTAAGTCATGTCAACCGCAACCGCTCCCACTATAGTTACATGAGGGGAAAATACATCCGACTGCACTTTTCACCCTATCATGTGAGAAGTGTGATTGAATTAAAAGTGTACATAGAGTAAAATGTACAGAAAAAGACTGAAATAGGAACTAAAATGACCTCCGAAGAACATGACATCGTACTCACCCTTGGAGCAGAGGAGCGTGCGTTTGTCAGTTGCTGATGGAGGTACAGATAGAGGCTTTGGAGGAAATGGGGTTTGTACAGTTTCTCTCAACAAGGGAGGAAATGGCCCGTGTGACAGTTTTGAGTTGAACCCTAACCCTAACAACAACATTGTAATGGTGGCGGTGTTAAGACACAACTTGAATGAATAGAAGATGAACAAAAGTGCAAACCAGCGACTTAAACCATTCTTTTTTTTAGCCGCCAAGGAGAGACACTTATTCTCTTTTCTGTCAAACAATTTAAAGCTACCTAATGTTCCCCCCCCCCATTTGTTTGTGTTTTCAACCTTGCATATAAAGAGTCCCACATTCAAAGCTTTGTGCTGGGGGGAATTTCACTGAGTCAGGGTGATCCTCTCTATGTATTTATTTTTTGGTCTCTTGTCTGAAACCAAAAATATGTGTATCTGGAAACAAACCACTTTAGAGAGCCAAGAACTAGTTTGATTGGATGATTGATTATTTTAAATTTATTGTGGTTTGAACGTATGATATTCCAGCTTAGCTATTTGCAAAGCAGTTTTATTTTTACCTCTGCCCAGGAGATAAAGTGAGTTTGTCTGTGAGCAACATAACTCAGGAGCTTAGTGAGAATTTGGTCGTCATTTTCAGGGCAAATGAACCACTGATTCAGTTTTGGTGCTGATTCAATATTCCATCCGGATGCAGGAATAGAAATGCATCTCTGGAAGCTTTTCTATTATTGTATATTAAAATCAAACTTTCAAATGCTTTTTTTTTTTTTTAAACTAGTACTTTTCACAATAGATTGGCACCAAAACATATTGAAAATGTAAAATGTTTTCTTCTGAAGCCAGTGGTTCTAATGTGGTGAGTTATTTCAAGATGCAATACTAAAAGCATTCCAATGTTTTTAACCAATTATTTAGCACACTCATTTAATATTAATGAGGAAATGTTTAGTTTTCTGTTTATTGCTCTACCTCAGATATTGAATGTACCGTATATTACAGCAATGAGAGGAAGGGACAGGATTTACTCGTGCTAACTTCCTGTTTACTGACACATGATGAAGTATGGCCCATTATACAGCATGTTGTATCTTTGTTTTAGGGTGGTGTGAAGTGAAACCTATACATCTAACAGTTCAGTGCGGCACCCTGGTTTAACCGCAGCCGACCTACGCCCAAGAACGTCAAATTGGGCCATATGTGCAGCTGACTCATACATGTTATTGGGCAAAACTTCTATTGCCTAAATACCGACACCACAACGACACAAAGGAAGTGTTTTAATTCACAATTTGAGGGAAGAGTTTATGCAAGAAGTAAGATCAACATGTGCAACAAGAAAATAAGGCCTTTCAGAAATAGGAGTATATGTTTCAGTTCTATACAGGGATTGACTGGTTATAACACTTCAATTACAACTGGAATATCTTATTTACAAAATATTTGTTCTGTTAAGAGGGAGATACAAGTCTTGGCTGCACAAACATACACTAAGTTGTCCAGCTGCCTAAATAAAAACATAACCAATGCTGAGGATGGCCAAATCATGGGTGGTACTGTTGATTTATTAAGAATATTTTTATAAGGAAACCAAATACACAGAAAAAAATCACCTAAACCATGTAAACACACACACATCATAAGGAGCAGTAAACAAACAAAAAAAGAGCCACAATAATATTGTTTCGACAGTCTTCCACTTATAGTTCGTCCTTGGCCTTCTCAAAGCCCTTGTCAAAGCCTTTATCAAAGCCCTTGTCCAAGCTCATATTGGCCATCTCAAAGCAGTGGTCAGATGCAGGTTCAGGTGAGTGGCCCACTGGGACGCACTCGTAGCCTTTACCTGAAGAGTTCATTCGCTTTCGATTTCTCGCACCAGGCTGATAAAGTTGCATTGCTGGTCGATCCTATGGGAAAGATGAGCCATGTTTAAACATTATAGTCACAAAGTCTGCTTTGGAACTAAAATCTCCAGTCAAAACACCCAAAGGCGCGATGGAGGCTCACTAGTGTATGGTAACCATAATCCACAGGATGTTTTTTTAGCCTAAAAAGCAGAAATAGAAATAGCCTCTTCGAAAATTAAGTGGAGGAACGTATTTATTGACATTGCCAAAATGCACCTTGACAAAGAATCTAAGGTACGCTGACGATGTGTAGATTGAGAGTAGAAGAATTAATTCACAGTGAGTCCTTGTGTGTGTGGCTTCTTTCAATAAAAAGCAGAATATTTTTGCTAAGAATTGTGATTACATTGTGAATGATATTAAAGTTTAACATCGACTTGACTGGACTTTTACTATCCTGTTGGCCCCGTATCTGCGGAGGTCTCCTCTGGGTTCACCGGTTTCTCCTATCACTAAAAATATTTATGTATGAATGTGTGAGTGTATAGTTAGTGGCCGGAGGGTCCGCTTTGCGCCACCTGGGTCAATCCAACCTGCTTTCAGTCACTTTGTGTGGAGTGACAACTTACTAGATCTTTGAGTAATGTACTGAGCACCTGCTTCATCACACTTCTGGTTAGATCTAACTAAACCAGGTCCAAACCCAGTAATATAAAAAAAACAATTCAGAGGGTGGGGGGAGAGTGGCAGGGAGGTAAAGGGATGCAATGTGGTGATAAATAAAAGGAAAAAAATAAAATAAAACACCACCAGAGGGAGCCCACAACCACATTCCACAGCAAAGTCTCCCATAGATACATCCTGCTGGTGGATTTCAAACTGTACATATCATCTGTATGTATGTATAGTTTGCTGCAGGTCCTGTCAATAACAGTCAAGTCAACACATAAAGTCTAGAGAATAGTCCCTCATGCTCACCTTCTCGCTCACCTTGTTTCGGAGGCGCTCCTTCCTGTTACTCAGCTCATCCCGGTCGTCTTTTCCCAGTTTGTCTCCGTTATCGAGACAATAGTTATAGCTGTGGTGGTGTCCCTCTTTCTTCCTCCTCTCCTCTCTGTCCTGGCAGTAACCTTTCCCCCATTTTGTCTCATCTTTCCGACGCATAAATTTGTCAAACTCATAATGGTGTCTTTGGCGTTTTCTCTCCTCATCCTTCATCCTGTGATCCTTTTCCCTTTGCCTGCGACTGTGCTGCTGATGCTGCTCTTTGTCGCTCTCTGGCTGCCCCCTGCTGGACAAACTGGAGAATAAGAGAGATGTAATGACAAGCACATTTTGTTAACAGGCAACAGTACAAGCATGCAAAAACGCACTCCCTTAAAATATCAGTAGAATAAAGAGTAGATTTAAGGCCAATAAAGTTAACTTTCAAACCACAAAAAAACAGAACTATGTAATATAATGTATACAAACTAATGCATCGCTCTCAGAACACTTTGGTTTTATCACTAGTTTTCACATTCATGTATTTTTGACCTCTGACATCTTTAGATCAGCTTGTTTCTTACGTATACGTTTAGAAGATAACATATTTTTTGCATCTTATTTGTTCACAACATTTCACTTTTACAAGACTCTTCTTACACAAACAAATTATGTTATTTCTGAAAGGATAAAAACTATATAATTTTTAATTTTTGTTTTAATAAGTAAGTGTGAACGTGCTTAACAATATTGATAAATGTAGCAATGCAAAAGCCACATTTCTCTTAGATTTTACAGTGTTCCATATTTTCCACAAACACAAATAATTCCAACTACAAATCATCACAAATTCCAAACACATCTCCATTTTTGGCAGTATCTTACTTTTCTTTGAATTCCTTTGACTTTGTTTGATTGGCGCTCTTTTCCCACTTTCGTTCCACGTCTCCCACATCACTTTTATCTTTTGTGCGATCTGAATCTGCGTCTTCGTCTCTATCGCTCTTCCTTAAAAGCTTTTAGTGAACAGACACAAGTCTTGAAATGATTACTCTTTATTGAATGATAAACATTATTTTCGTCTGACCCTGTACCTTGATCTTGATGTCCTTATCAGACAGTTTCTTTTGCTTTTCTGCCTCTTTGCGTTTGCGTCTTTCCTCTTCTCGTCGCTTTCGCTTTTCTTCCTCTCTTTGTCGCTTTTTCTCCATTTCACGTCTGCGTCTCTCCTCTCTCTTCTCTTCTCTGATTCTCTGCAATAAAAAAAAACACAATTATAAAATGTGAACTTTTTGGCAAATACTTTTTGGAAAAAGTTTTATTTACCTGCTTCTCAATTTTCTTATTTTTGATGTACTCTAAGAGGGGTGTAGTGCGTTTGGCTGCAACACACAATAAAACAAATGAACACAAATTCCAACAACATGTTAAAATTGATGCATTTTTTGTGTATTTACCAATGAGTTCCCTGGTTTTGGCTTCAATCTCCCCCAACAGGGTCTCAGGATTGGCCATCGATTTCTCCTCATCACAAGAATAATTTTCCAAGAATCGCTTATATTCTGGATCTATTGGAAGATTTTCCACATATATTTATTCACAAAAATAATAAGTATCACATACAGTATATGTATAAGCTAAAGCTGGCCAACCACTTTCCACCCGGATAATAACACATTGAGTTTGTCCCAACATAAGGTTAAATGTCAGACCACAACAAGGATTCTTCATATGAGAGACATGTTATCTTTTGGCGACAGTAGCTCAGTTGGTAGAGCATTGGAAGGTGGGTTTGAGCCCACCATAAGACCTACTTCACGACTCCCACTGATGACTGGTGTCGTTGTGTCCTTGGGCAAGACACTTAGCCCCACTTTGCCTAAAAGCCCACACTGAAAGATCTCAGCTCCTGTGGACTCACCACCTGCAGGAGGATCAGTGAGGGGCTGGTGCTCTGTGTACTGGGTGCAGCTCTGACTGCCACCCCCCCGACCCAGAAATGGATTAAGGGGAAGACGATGGATGGATGTTATCTTTTGCTCTGTGAGTCACTATTTGATGCTTTAGGCATTTATTTAATGACCAGTCAGACAGAGAACAGTTACTGATTGGCTGAGTGAGGGTGGTCTTCTCTTTTCTGTCTAAAAAAGCTGTCCAAAAATGTGACAGAGTGCAAAGATGCATCCATGTGAAACTAGTGAGACAGGAACTATAAGAAGGATTTTATCACATAGTTTACTTTTTTAGAATTTGTCATCTTCAAGGTAAAGGTGCACTTTATTAATCCCAGTAGGGCAATTCATCCTCTGCATTTGACCCATCCTGATGCCACTAAGGCTTGCGTCAGGAGCAGTGGCCGCCATAGTAAGAGCGCCTGGGAACCCATCTCCAGATGTTGATGCTTGACTTGGTCAGAACCAGAGCTGGAGGATTTAACCTATAGTGTGCAAGTTTTTAGCGGTAGGGGAAACCGGAGTACCCGGAGGAAACCTACGCAAGCACGGGGAGCACATGCAAACTCCACTCAGAAAGACCCCGTTTTGACCGGGATTCGAACCCAGGACCCTCCATTGCACACAAAATCAATTTTCCACAAGTATGTTACCTTCTTCAATGCTCCCAGCTTTTGCATCCTTTTTCTTTAGCTTTTTCTTTGAGATTTTCTGGAACGGAGCAAATTCCACCACTGCGGGGTATTCGAGGCCTGAAACAAACAAAGTTGAAATATTACAACGTCTGCCTCCGTTCAGTTGTCTGTATCTGTAACATTACCCTTGTTATCAATGAAGACATATCCATCAAATCTGTCTCTGAAGTGCAGGATATCCTCAGGGCTTTTAAAGTTAATGTATGCTCGGGAAAACAGATGTGGGTACAAGCTGTGCAGATATCAAATGCATCATGTTAAATAAGAACATGGTGGTTATGACAGAAGTATTTTACAATTACCTTTGATCTGCAGGAAAGAATTCAAAATAATCAAATGAAGGCAACGGGCTGAGCTGTTCTTCGAGCTGTTCCTTTGAGATGTTTGGAGGAAGCCTTCGAATCACCACCTGAGAACAGTCACCATAAAGCCGCAGTGTGACCAGTTTTGTCCCGACATAGATTATCATTATTATTGAGTAACCAATTCAGACTAATGACTTTCTATTGGGGGTACTCAGAGTAGTTTGATTGACCTTTATTCAGAGTACATTTGCTTTTCAACAGCTTAAGAAGAAAACAATGCTTTGATTCATGCATGTGTGTTGTACAGTTTTTGAATATTAAATAAATAAAAACAAAGCACACCGATAAATTACAGAGTTGTTTTAATTCTACAATGCATCTTTCAACTGTTGATATTATGACAGTTATCCTGAATTCCAAGCATTCAGACTACAGTGCAATAATTAGACTATATGTAACAGAAGTAAACAGAATTTATTAATGTTCAAACGCAAAAGCAGTGAACTGTTCCCTGGATCAATCGTACCATGAACGCGTGCCCTGGACAGCTCCAGATAAACATTGCCAAGAATATTCATAACCCAATGCCGGCGAGACAGCCATGAGGGGGCTTCATCTTTTAGGCAGCCGTAAGCTTCACCACAAGAACTATGTTGTGGCCTGTTGGGTCTAATACGACTAAACAGTATTCTTTAACTACACACTGAAAAACCTGCACTACTATTGACACTGTTTCTTGATTACCACTTTGTATTGTACATAATATATCCTGCAATTAACATGTTTGCACATTTCTTTCTTTTGTACAATCTTGAGAGTTTCTATCCATGAGAGATGTTACATGTACATTACTCCTGTTTGAGATCAATAAAGTCTATCTTAATTATCTTATCACGGTTAGGAGTAGGTACTGTCTCCAACACTGAGTATTATGGCAGCCTATGTAATGCTACTATGATGCTCCAGTTTGGGTTTTGTCGGCGGTTCCGCTCTGTACACATGACATATCCCCAATCTACCCTCACCCTGCAGTCTTTGTTAGCGGTCCTCTCAAACAGGACATCATGATGGTTCTGTACCGGATGAGGTGTCGTGTTTAAGGTCGCTGTCCGTGGTGCTGAACAGACGCGTCCCCCATGACAGTCCAAAACAACAGCTAATACGCACCTTGGTGAAAAGCTCCTTCTTCTCTTCCTTCTGTTTGTTGGCGTTTGCAGTAGTGTTGTCCTGGTCGCTCACGGTGTCCATGCACAGGAGGTCTGCAGGGGTTTTCTCCTTCACCGCAGGCGTTTGCTCCTTTTCAGACCTCATCTCTCCATCGCCCTCGTCTCTGCGCCAACACACTGTTCTCGCGAGATTTTGGCAAAGCAACACGCATGCATCGGTGCACCTGATTTCCCCTTTCCAGTGCTGTATCTCTATTTTCTCCCATACAATAAATACAGGTTTGACAGAGAAAATGTGCAGAATCGGTGCACATGTATTTGCATTGAATGATGCTGGCGAAACGTTTTGCACAAAAGCATACAGCCTATTTTTATTGCATCATATTTCGGCTGTCAGTTTCGCAGACTTCACCAGGACCATGTCTCACGGCGTCACTTGGTGCTTGAGGACTGGGAGTGTGGGGACTAGGAAATGGGCTGTTTGATCCCGCCGCGCTACTGGAGCTGGTGTCCGCAGACAAGCCCGGAGCATCCCCAGGAACTAAGAATAATAAGATAGAATATATTACTATCATTTAATCAGATTGTGCTGAAACATTTATCACGTGTCTAAAACAGTGTTACTCTTGAGGGTAAAACAGTCAAAGCAATGCAAGTTTGCGATTTACCACGAAGGAAAGTTTGTTTATTTCTTGCGTCCACTGTGATCCGAGGTGAAGGTCTCTCAGGCGTGGATGCGGAGCTCATGAGACTGGGCACACACGTAGAGCAGGTGTCCTCCTGGAACACCCCGTCCTGCCCGTAAACCACCACGGACTTAGAAGGAGTGCAGCCCATCGCTCATCTCTATGACCAGATAAATCTCCATTTGAACAAAAACAAACATCAAAGACAGGAAGAGCAGAAGCCTTTTTTTCTTCATCTGTTACCCCTCCCCTTGACCTGATGACATTTAAGAAGGATGTCAGCTCCCACCTCCAACCCATTACAGACATCAGACAAAGGTGCTCAGCCTTGGAATCAGGTGTGAGGCTTTACGTTAAAAATACATATAAAAGGTGAATGCCTTCAGAATCTTCAGAAAGCACAAAAAGTATTATGAGTTGGTTTGACGACGTTAAACATAATCATCAACACAATAAGAATAAAGTCATGATTTATTTGACAACTGACAGAAAGTTGCAATAAGATGGCTCCCATATAGCTGGCTCTTTATTCATAAATCCACAGGGAAATAGTCAAGTTTTAGTTTGAGAGTCCTCGAGTCCAGGTGTAGTTGCTTGTGACAAAATACAGATACAAAATTCCACCTGTGATGAGAAGGTCACGTGCTTGTGTCTGACAAGGTGTCCAACATCATGTCACTTTCATACATGTCACACTCCAGGGTCAGCGACAGCCGCAGAGGCGTCTCCAACATCACATTGTCTTGATTGGACACTGGTGTCAAGGACATAGCGTTTGTGTTTTCTGCCTCTTCCTGCCTCGGCGTATCCGAGGCAGGAAATTCACCCGTGGTAGACAGCATCTTCATCAGGGCAGGTGTGTTCAGGCTGCTTTTTGCTTTGTCATCGATATCTGTGGCTATATATAGTGCATACACATTCTTATTGACAAAGAGAACTGGTGTGAAAACGACGTTTAGGACAATGCATAACTTACCAACATAAGCATCTGTGTCTCCAATGTACATCTCAATACAGTGAGCAAGCATCGTTACCGAGAAAGTGTCATCTCTTTTTAGTCCAAGTGCCTGAGAAAACTCAAGGTTATAAATTACTTCATATATACAGCATATATATAAACAATAATAGCAGTTGGGCATCTTCCAAATAAAAATGATCACAGATTTTCATAATCTTCCCTTTGAATTGACCTCTTTATGAAAATGCAAAGGAAATGAATTACCGTGTGGAAATAGTCAATAGCGCTCTCAAAGTCTCCCATCAGGCTGTGGACATATCCAATGGCTGCATACGTGGACGCGTGCTGTGGTATTAAAACCAGTGCCTGTCGGTGGTACTCAAGAGCACGGTCATACTTCCTATAGACACAAAATAATGCATCATTAGTGCTTTTATAGTGTGTTTGGCATTTGTGGTACACAAATTAATATAATTGTTAAGAGAAAGATACAAATCGCTGCTCTCCACATCCAGAGTGAGAGGAACAAGAGATTAACTGTGAAAAGCAAAGGTTCCACTTAACTATGATTTTATGAAAGACACTGTATTAGGAATATAGCATCTAAATGTAGGTAATATTAATTAGCCAAAGATGTAGTCCTCTAATTTTTTACATAGAAGGTTGCAATTTCGCACAGTAAGTCGAGGAAATTTATTTAAAAAAGCTTGATCACTAATTGATCAGTCTTGGATAATTGCATCTCCTCAGTCCTGCTGTTTGAGATTGGACCGTGAAGTGATTGAATGATTGAGTCGTCCCAGACCATTCTGAATTTGAACATAGAAACACAATGCAAAAGTCCTGTCATTTATATAATATAGATTATATACATAAAATGTAAAATCAAATTTGCTACAAATGACTATTAGTAAGCAGAAAGTGTTAAGAAGGATCCATAAATAAGCTTTGTTTATTTGGTAACTCAATAGATTTGCATTTCTCATTAAACACAGAATGTATTCAGTGCATCCATAACAGCATCTTGACATTTCTATCTTTGTCATTCAAGTAGCTGAGGGCAACCAGGCTACGCATAATTGAAATCATATTTTTTGTTTATTATGAAAACATAAGTAAAGTGATACAATAGATAATCACCCTTCATGTATTTTTGGAGTTCAAGGAAAAATTATGAATAAAAATAGTCAAGTACTTACTTGAGTTTTCGACACACGTGACCCAAGTTGTTCAGCAATGGTTCCCATTTATCAACAGTTACCTATAAAAAAATAGCAGGTAAGCACAAAATTATCTCGTATAACAAATGTATTAACTATCATTTTACAATTTTACTCACTTCATTGCCAATAGCTTTAATTTTTTCCATTGCATCAAGAAATAACCGTTCTGCTGTTTTCCAACTGAAAGAGACAGATTTACATTTGAAACAAACGATTCATTCACAATTAATATTTTCACACATTCATTTATATGTGTGCAGAATTATGTGCGAATGATCAAAACTTACTCTCCATTCTGAAAAGCAACCACCGCCACCTCATGAATGACAAATGGATCCTCTGGGGCAATACCAAGAGCCTGACTAAAGAAGCGCTCCGCAAGTTTAGAGTTGTTTGTTAGACCGTACTCCAGACCAATATACAACATTGGTAAGTGACACCTGTTTATGGAAATATTGATGATATACAGAATAAAAACACATGGCCGGGTGATTTTGCACCAACCCTTTCATTAGTTGAGCAGCAGTGAAGTACGCCGCCATGGCTTGATCATGCTCACTTTCTACAGCAAATGAATGACCATAAGCGATCCAGGCAGGACCATAGGTCCGCTCAAGTGTGGTGGCTTTGCTAGAGAAAACACCATGTATTACAGCAAAGACTTAAAACACCCATAGCATCACTTTCAGACTGTACATACCTTAGATACCGCCGGGCATGTTCATTTTTATGGCCAACCATGAGATAATAGCAGCCAACCGCAAACCAGGAAACCTGTAGAGATGAAAGATTTAATGTAGCAACCAAATATGAAATCAAATAGATCTGGCCTCTTTTCACTCACAGGATTATTTGGATACAGGTCCACGAGTTTATGAGACAGATAAAATAACTCTAATAGAAGATAGAAAAAGGTTCACACAGTTCAAAGTGACATGAAATAATGAGGATTAAAGTGATTTTACCATTAGACTTTCCAAGCTCTACTAAGGTTCCTATGTGAACGGGTAAGCAGTTTGCATGATAGGGATCTTTAACCATTACCCTGAAATGAAGGAAAAATATGTTTTATTTTCATAAAAATGACATTAATTAACCTCCATGTAATATTGTGCAGAAGTGCATGATAAACTGAAAACTTGTATCATGTTGTGGCAACCACAAAAATCTTACATTGATGTGAGCTTGAAGCAGGTCTTGAAATCACAATTGTAATAATGCCGCTCCGCAAGAGAAACAACAACATCTAAATTGTCTTGAAGACCATTGACCATTTCAGGGACAACCAACTCGCTAGGCTTATTGTACTGCAAAGAAAGAAGAAAATAAAACACATGAGAAACTGGCTATACCATATAAATAAACAATTTAGAAAATAGTAACTACTTTTTTTAACTTATGTTCAAATAAAAAATGTAACAACTCCTCCTCTTCGTCTGTGCACTGCTCATTCAAAGGGAGGGAGTCCAGGAAATCTTTTTCTACAAGAAACACCCAATCCACCATTACGCACAATAGATAATGTTAAAACTACTGCATCTCTCGGGCTAGCGTACCTTCCTGTGCAGTCAGCATGTGGTGGGCAGTGAGAAGGTCAAAGGCTTCAAAGCAGTATACATCCAGTTTCAAGGCTTCTTTGTAACTCGATGTGGCTAAAGGACGGTTATCCATAGCGTCATATATTTTACCCCGCAGGAGGCAGATGGAGCTATTAATCTGAAACAAAGCAATTATAAAAAAGATCCATTTATCAACTTTTAACAAATAATTATGTTAATAAAATTAGAGTCGCTTTCAGTGCAGTACCAAAAAAAGATCTGTATGAAACAAGCGTTACTTGTGAATAATCATTGTGACGTTGTCATCAAAGCTTTGTTTCTAATAAAACTTGAATTTGTAAATCCATATTTATTTAACCAGAAGAGTTCCACTGATATTTCCCAATCTCTTTATAGGAGAATCCAAAAACATGATTTGTAGAGGTGCACCGATCAGGATTTTTTTGGCCGATCACCGATCACTAAAATTTTGATCGGCCGATACCGATCATTGCCGATCCGATCAAATATTGAAAATATTAGTGATAAATGAATAGGACTAGTCATTCACTTTATAACTAATCTTTCAAAACCATCAAGGTACTAGGTAGTATAAATAAAATGCCTATGGGGTACTCAAGACAAAAAGGTTGGGAACCACAAGTATACGTTACAGAGCATTGAGATGCATTAAAAAAATGCAATCAAAAACAGCAATAATGTACATGCTGCATTTCTAAACTGATTAAGAAGAGATAGTTAAAGCAATGTTTTTTCTTCAGTAATATTAGCATCTCAGCATTTACAGGGGTTTATTATGTTTATCATCCTGAATAGTCCCGCGGCGCTAAACTCTCACTGTTTGCACTTGTGCATGGAGCGCAGAGGAAAGACGCTGCTTTGGCCAAAGGAGAGAAGCGGCTTTTAATTTCCTTCCAATAAACAAGCGGCCGTCTGCTCCGATGTGCAACTACGTAGTAAGTAACGCTAAATGTGCGACACTGTAGGACTGTCTGTACTACCACTACACTCATCTTAATTCAATATTTCTGTGAACATAACATGCAAACTCCTGACACGGGGTGTTTCTGCCTGACGGCAGCGCCTCACTGCTGAGGGTGTTCGGTGTGTGTTTGGTGCCTGCGCGGTGTGACTCTGGCTCGTTATTATAAAAGATCCATGCTCTGGAGTGTCAATGTGAGAATATACAGGTAAAGCTGCAACAGGCAGACATCAGTCAGACATCAGTCAGATATCTCCGCGATGGCATATTGAAGCAGTGGACATGAGTCGTTTGAAGCCAGCGTTTTCCGCAAGCGCTGGGGGCAGAGAGGAATAAATTCCATAACTTTCGTGCATATTTTGTGTTCTTTCTTACGTCATTACTGTATGGTTGTTGCAGCTGTAGAATCTCCGTTACTGATAGCTGCATGAGTTGCTTGTTTATGCAGTTTTGACGAGAGAACGTAACTTGTGCGCATGAATCCTCATGTCATCTAATTGGTCTTTGTGATCGGCACATTTCACCGATCACCGATCACGCAAATTAAGCCGTGTTCGGCCGATTATAATCGGCTACCGATCGATCGGTGCACCTCTAATGATTTGTGTCGATTCATTGTTTCAGTCCTTTATTTTCTCTATATCTTGTCATAAATATAAAAGTTTTAAGTAAACATCTAAGATTGCCTCTAAGATTTCAGATGGTGAAGTATAACATAATTATGCAATATAAAAAGGCACAGTGAAAACAGCAAGATTTACAGAAATACAGCCGCAAAAATGTGTACTCACTGCAGCTGTGGACATGCCCCAGTCTGGTGTCACAGTCTCCTCCTTCCCATCCTTTTCAAGCAGCTTCTTGCTGACTGGCTCCTCCACATCCAAAATATCCAAGGCCTGCTGGAACTCTTTTGCAGCATACTGACAACAGCAAAGGGAGTATGTAATAAAACTAACTAAACTTTAAGTACAAACTGTTCCCATAACTTACGTGGCATCTAGCAGCAAGATACTGACATGCTCCAAATATCTGTACAAAAATGAACTGATTGTTGACATGAAAAAGTTACAAATAGTGGCGTATTCGTCGTATTACCTTGTCAAGTTTACGCGATCGTATCGCGTGTGAGGCTCTATGGTACTGGGAGGTCAGATAAAGGCACTGAGCGAGCCAGTAAATGTCTTGAGGGTCCTCTGTCACAAGACAAAGAACGTGTAATTACGAAATAGAGACGTATTAATAATGACGTTGATTTGTTTATCAATGGAGACTTTATCATTAAAATAATTCACTTTCAAAAGAAAGATCGCCAGTTCAACAATGTTTACAAAAGTTGGCTCCAGTGATATACGGTACTTACCATGGGATAAAGATGCTATCTTGTCGGACCAGAAAAGAGCGCTTTGATACTGTTGCTGAAAATCGGTAGGAAAATAATATTAATATAAATGACTCTATTAATAAATACAGTGTTCGTGAGGTTATATTTTTGCTAGCTGGCTGTGCAGAAACCGTGGTTACCTGATCAATGTACTGGCGCACTCGCTTCCGAAGTCTGCCAAGATTCATTTTACTTATTTGTGAAAAACACTCCGTATCAATAAAATGTTATCATTCTTATACAGGTACAGAATTGCCAAACTACTCTACAACGGGAGCTAGCACGCTAGCGGTTCAAATACGCGGCTTCTTTCTGCACGAAGTGTGTCGACTAATGCTGCTGTAAGGAAACAAAGTACCTCAGATGTCGTTCCGCGTTCTGTTTCAGTGTAGCGCCCCCCTAGTATTGCGTTTTACCATGGTTGAATTAAATAACAATTAAATAATAGTTTATAGTTAAATAATTTACTAGTAATGAAGAGTATTTTCTATTTGAGACATATACATGTTTGAATTGACAATAAATGAGAATGATACAGCTTTATTAAACATATATATGGCTGTTGTTTATCTAATACCGGGCGGCACGGTGGCTGGCCTTTCTGAGTGGAGTTTGCATGTTCTCCCCGTGTCTGCGTAGGTTTCCTCCGGGTGCTCCGGTTTCCCCTACCACTAAAAATATGTACAATAGTTCTGGCATGTGCCTCCTGTACTGGCACCCCCACTCCCAAAAATCACAATTGTAAACCGCTTTGAGACTTTGAGACTGCAGTGAAAAGGCGGTATATAAATAAAGATTACTTACTTACTACTACTAATACACAACAGGCACAAAGAGGCCAATTAAGGTAGACAGCCACAAGTCAGGTCAGGACAGCCTCAAAAAAAAGAATATATGAACGATTCAAATACAAGACATGTAAAAATATTGCAAAATATACCCAAGATTATATATAATACCCAAGATAGATTATAATACATAATCTATACACAAAATAATCTATACACAAAATATTTCTTTGTGGACCCACGATGTGACACTTTTTCATCAACAACGAAACAAACAAAAGATGTTTATATGTTTATATCTTTATTTATATACCGCCTTTTCACTGCACATTGGAGTCTCAAAGCGGTTTACAAATGTAACCAGTTTGAGGTGATTTAATTCTTGTTTTCAGTTGGTCTTTTCCAGACTTCCCTCATCCAACTCTTCGTGTTTCTTACTATGATGACTTTCCTCTGCTTTTTCTTTGTCCAAATTTCTCCATAGACCTTTTTTTGGACCCTAACAAAGAAAACGGAACTTTAATGGGAAAAAATGTGTTAAGAATTCCAAAGCATTCAACATAACGTGAACGAGATATCATTTTTTGTATTTGTTTTTATGTATTTATTTTATTGGTAGCATTTGATGGGGACAGTACATGTTAATGAACATATATGGTCATATAATCAACATATGTCGAGATGTGAGATTATATAAAAAATACAGCAATTAAAAACATACAACCACAGGAATTCATACACACAGAGTCACAGCGTAGAGCGATTAAATTGATGCTTGATTTCATGTAAGCATACAGTGTTTTATGTTTATATTTTCTCATGCTTCACATCTGTTTATCATTAATTTTAAACTGACTTAATTGACTAGTGGACACATGTTCATTTGTTCACCAGAAATAAAGCATTTTTACTCTAAGTGAACCACAATTGGTCCAGTTAAAGTGAATCAGACCAAGTGTGAACGTGCCCATAGATAATCACTTCTGCTGTTGAAGTTTAACACCATCGTCTCGTAGACCACAAATTTGAAATGTATAAATGAAAACAGGTAACCTTTGTATGCGCTCTTCTTGGGTACTTTGCTATTTTGTCCATCAGGCTCAGAGTTTTGATCCAGTCTTGGTGCCAGCTCTTTACACTGAAGTGAGAAGAGCACTGATTCAGACGCTGCAGCATCAGTTGATTTTCTTGAGAAATACGCAGTAGCTCTGCCCGCAGCTTCTGCATATTCAGACTACCACAGCACAGAAATATGTTTAAAGACATGTTTCACAGTCTTTGGTTTGGAGATATGTTTCAAATATTGACCTTTTCTTTTCATAGACATTCTGGTTGTCAACTGCACCTGTTGTCTTCTTGATGTATGCAATTTTTTCTAAAAGTACACTGTTTTCTTGTTGAATTTTCTTTTCTCTGTCAATCTAAAAAAAAGTTAAAACATCAGTAAGATATATTATTTTTCAGTGACAATAAACTATAAATGATACCATTCTTACTTTTTGTTTTTCCATCTTAAAAGCCAAGTGACGATAGGTTTTTGGAGGAGTAATGTCTATTGTTGGTTTGGCATTTTTAATCTAAAAAAACAAAAAATAAACATCACATTATTGTTGGAACTTTAGACTATACATTTATTTAGAGACTTTACAAACATTGTGTCTGTGTAATGCAAAATCATGGGAAGTTTTGTCCCATTTTTGTTGCTGGCCTTTATTCCCAGCAAGAAAGTGACACTCTTGATTTTGTGCCATATCTAAAAGAGGGTAAAAACTGAATATAAATAATTTTGTTATTTTATCTCCAAAAGGTTGTTGCTAAGTATGTAAGCTTTTGTCCAAACTCACCTGTAGGCCTGTGTGTTTCCACCTGTGCTGCCTGGAGACGGTCTCTGCTGCACCACACATTAAAGAAAACAATGACATCCCCTTGGCGACATCACACCCTCTGCCTAAAAACCTAAAGTATAAGTCAGGGAACAGATTGCCTGACAATTCACAGTGTTCCTCTCCTCTTAAAAAACAAAAACTCAAAACAAAGTCAGGAATGTATAAACTGCTGGTTCTAACCCAAAAAGAGTGATAGAGACTTTGTGCTCCATCATTTGGGAATGAAGACACGTCATGATGCTGTTTCAAAAGGGTTTATTGTTGGTAATTTATGGTCTTTATCATGCAGTGGTTGAGTACGAGGTGGGTTTGGATCATGATCATGTTAAAATACTTCACTGAGTCCCCCCACCACCCACTCCATGTTTGACAGTACTTCTCAACATGTGTATCTGTCAATGGCTGCTTAATCAATACAGTTTTGAATTCTTACTTCTTACTTACATGTTTTATCTCTTCTATCCATTATTTTTCAATATATATGCATGTTATTGAATTCAAAAATAAACTTGATTAAAACGATTTTGAATGAGCTCCATTGAGGTGATTTATTTTTCATGAATGAAAAGACAGGTTTAAATTGCTCCCTCTATTGGCCACGATGGGTATGTCTAGTTTGTTTTAATATATCATTGTGAATCACCTATGAAACTTCTGTTGACATGTCCTAATGATTTCTTGTGTCAATATCTTTGAATTTATTATGTAAATACATAAACTGCCTCCCTAATCCATGTGTTAAAGTGTTGTAATAGTGTAATAGTTATTTCAGTGATTGTATTCGTAAGGTAATAAGTAATATTTTTTATCCATCAAAAGACTTTTCAAAACTGCACGTTATTAACGACTTATTGTGTTTGCATTTTGGATAATGAAGGTACTACCTCGGATGAAATGTTGTGGGTCCGCAATTGTGGGAATGGTATGACCCATCGCCCTAATGTAAGTTGGAAACACAAAATGTATAATAGTTTAAGTATAATAGTTTACATTTGCTAATATCATACTAATTTAGACAATAGGTTACTGGTGTTTCCTGTTAGTGTTACTGCCGTTGACCCAGTGGCACAAAAGGCTGGTGCCGGTCCCTGAGGTCTTTTTTTTTTTATCCTGTGATGGAAAGTAGCTAAGGCAACATGTCCATAGAGAGGACACTGTTTTTAGAATAGCCATTTCACCAGTGTGCAGGAAATTTACTGTACAGGATGGACCACTGAGTTGTGTCCATGCAATGATGAGCTGTAAGAAGTTAAATCATGAAACCGCAGTATTTATAACTGTGAGTGTATGATGTGTATCAACAAAACTGGAAAAAAAAAAAAAAAAAACATTGGTAAACTGAAAAAAACCAAAAAACACTGAAAACACCTATACAAATTGTAATTACCAACCATTCTCAAGAGAAGGTTGCAACAGCAGGGAATGCAACAAATCACTCTGCATTGGGCACAACTTTAGAAAATAAGAAAATGAACTTCAAATTGTGAAAACAGTCAGGATTTGATTAACTGGATTTGATTAACTGCTTGTGACGTAACATTCCAGAATGTGTGATCAATAATCAAATATCATCATTTTCTCATACAAAATAATCAACAATCAATGTAAAGTGCTTTACATTTTGGTTAAAAACAATCCCTCATGCCCCTGACCCCTCCATCCAACCACCCCACAGACCCACCCCAAACCATATACTGTATGTATAAGTATACACACAAACATAAGCAATGCAGCAGTCCTGTAACTGGTGTAATGTGGTTACATTACACCACATTACATTACATTACATTAATGCTGAGCCACAGGAAGTGTGCTGAACTGGTATTTCTCTAAAAGGACCTCTTTTGTTGTCACATGTGTCCTCTGCAATTGTCATCTGCCTCAATTGTTGCTCAAACTACAACAAATTCGGTTAGATTCATGATTAGGAAGGACATAAATAATTCAGTCATAACATGTGGAAAAGAGCCAGATGTTACGTAACAGTGGAATAAGTTATCAGGAAGACAAATCGGAGTCAGCCAGAGTACAGTGGGTCTATATCATTTTTGAATAAATTATACAAAATCAAAACCTTATGTGATTTGGACCTCGAGTCCGCAAATAAAGTTATCTATCTATCTATCTTATGGTGTATTTGGTGTTAGATGCAAGATAACTGCATCACTTAGCTTCAAATGTGTGCTTGTCTCCCTTGGCAACTTCACCTTGCAACTTCTGAACATCACGCCTTTGTACTGACAAGGTCTTAATGATTGAGTTTGATAGCAAAAGAAACAGTAGAATAAGCTAAAAGGTTATGGTAAATATTGACATTTTTGACTTTAAAATGAAGGACGAACAACAAGTGAGTTGTGTCTAGTAACTTTGAATCAAAGAAGTTCGTTCTGACCTCATCACAAGAGCTGAGTTCAGTGCACTGACAGCAAACGCACGAGCAACAGCCTCAAGCCAATGACCATGACTTCATTAGACATTGATGAATCCTGGGTTTTTGTCCTCCAGTTTGTACTG